TTTAGGAGTTAGAGACCAACATGAGCAAGACTGAGATCCTATCTCTACTAAAAATAGAAAAAACTAGCTGGGTGTTGTACCCAGCTGCTTGAGACAAGAGAATTGCTTAAACCCAGAAGTTTGAGGTTGCTGTGAGCTATGATGATGCCACAGCACTCTACCCAGGGCAACAGAGTGAAACTCTGTCTCAAAAAAAAAGTACTAAACTTAAGAGAAGCATCCCAATAATGGTAGCATACACTTAAGTAAATTACAAAGCACTTTTGTGTACTTCACTATGTACTTACAATAATCCTAAAAGCTAGGTAGAGTATCATTATCTCCATTTTAGAGCTGAGGAAACTGAGATTCAGACTTGAGCGTATAGTCACATGGCCAAGATCTCAAGCTAGGACATTTGCACTAGATTATTTATGACAGCTCAATTTACAATTGCTGAGATGTGGAAACAACCTGAATGCCCACCAACCATGGATTGCATTAACATATGGTGGTATATGTGTACTAGGGAATACTATTCAGCCATAAAAAGGAGACTTTACATCTTTTGTAGTAACCTGGATAGAGTTGGAACCCATTTTTCCAGTAAAGTATCACAAGAAAGGAGGAGCAAGTGTCTAATGTACTCAATGCTAATATGAAGCCAGTAGACGATCTAATACATGCCCATGTAAGAGAAAAACTCAATTCAACTCAAGGTGGGGGGAGGGGAAAGAAGAGAGGGGGATGGGGAGGGGAGAGGGGAATAGGAGAGGGGAGAGGGGATAGGAGAGGGGAGAGGGGAATGGGGAGGGGAGAGGGGGATAGGAGAGGGGATTGGTGCGCTCCCACTTAATGGGTAACGTAAAGGTATATGGCATGCTTCCTGGGTGCAGGACACAACTACAATAAGGACACTACCTAACAAATGCAAACATTGTAACTTAATTGTTTGTACCCTCACATTAATTTGAAATAAATAAATAAGCAAGAAAGAAAAGAAAAAAGAGATCTCAAGCTAGTAAATGAAAAAACCAGGACTCCCTTTTGGATACAAAGAGTTTTCCATGCAACATGTTGCCTTTTGAGATTGTTTCCAAAGACAACCCCTGACATGAATGAATGAATAAAACGAATAAAACTCATCTCTATTCCACCAAATATTTATGAGGCCAGTGAAACACTGAGTTAAAGTTTTTAGCCTTCGCGGAGGAGCAGACACTGTCCTGCTTACATGGCTGCTGAGAAGGGAGCTCCAGTGTCATCTTTTCCCAGGATC